CCCTCTCCCTACTTCCCCCCTCCCTTTCCCGGAGCATTGCGAACGGGGGTATTTTCTTCGGGGTATAAAGCTGAGAATAGACGGGAGGAGAGCCTCAGAGCTTCACCTCGTTTCCTCATCCCCTTTCGCATGCGAACCTCCTGCAACATCTCCTTCCTCCTGCTCCTCTCACCTGGCCGCCTCTGCCCAGATCATGTCCGCTAAGCTCCTGCTGGTTTTCTTCCTCCTCTCAGTGTTCCACGCCCGGTAAGTCCGCTCCCTTTTCCTCCCTCACCCCTCCGGCTCCTTTCCTCTCCGCGCCCGCGGCTGTCCGGAGTTCTCCGGGCTCTCCCCGCTCCGCTCTCCCCTCCACCGCGGGCCGCTCGCCAGCGCTCCGTCCCGATCCGGCCCGGCACAAAGTTTTCCCTCCTCGAGCCGCCGCTCCCCCGCTTCTCAACCCCGGGGCTGGGTTGAGGAGGGAGAGCCCCGCTACTAGGTGGCCGTTATCCGCCGCTCTCGGGATTTTCCAGCTGTACATCTCTGCGGCTTGCACTTTGCCGCTGGTGTCTCCTCGCAGCATCAGAATTAGTGGTCCCTGAAGAGGAGAGTGCAGCTCTTCTCCCTTCCCGGCTGGGAATTGGTCCCCCATCATCCCGCGCTTCTTGCTGTGGGCAATGGGAATGTGCGGGGAGTTTCGCGGTGCCCGTATGGCTACAGGGGACTTGTCAGCCCCAGATGCCTTCCAAGGAGACTCGTGGTGTGGAGGCAAAAGCAAGGGAAGTAGAACTCTTAAGCAGGAGCACCAAACACCGTGAAAAAAGCCTGTTTGAGGTATTAGTCTGATTCACTGTGATACCTCTCCCACCTGCAGCCTTGATCTATAGAGGAGGCAGGTAGGAGTTTGCATCATTTGGAGGTGCTCTCTAGGAAGTACCAGCACTAGGGGTTTAAAAGCCCTGTTAGAACTCGGCTGTACTGGTGACAGGTTTTAATGGAGCTGCTCCCGCAAATGGGAATTGTGATCGGATGTGAACTTGCTTCTCATTTTCACATACAGCCTGAATGCCTCCAGCAAAGTTGTGATGGGTGCAGCAGGCAAAGAGAGATGATCCTGAGCTCCTTTTCTATCAGTAATTCAGCACCGTTGCGGTGTTTCAGCTGGAGAATATCAACCATGTGTGCTAGGAGATGATGCCTCCTCTGAGAACGGTTCTGTAATTGCAATATTAAAACATATGGTTTGTCTTGAACCTGGGGGAGAAAGGAAAAAACAAAACAAAACAAAGGGTCCTTTAGGGTCTTTAATGTCCATTGGGTGAACAAATAAAGGAGTGCTCATCTACTTAAAAATGTCCTCAAGTTTTCTGTACTTCTGGCACTTGATTATACGAGCTCTCTCTGTGGAAAGTCAGTAGAATCTAGATTTCAAAAATTATTTTCATATAGAAATTATACTTAGACCACCTGCAATTTATGAAGTCATATTAGGTGATTCATGGCTAATCCTGCAAGGCATGTTGGCTGTAGAGCAGTTTCAATTAAAAGTTTTGTTAAAGGCTCAAATATAGTGGGTCTATAGTGGCAATGTTGCAGGTTGATGATGCTCTGTGGTGCATTTGTTGGCCTTTTTTCTATTGCTATAGGATGTCTATCAAATCTTCTTGACACCTGAGGTATTGTAAGAGACAGTGGTGTTATTAAGGGGAGAGACTGAGAGAGAGAGAGAGAGAAAAGAGGTTGCTTTGATGGACATAGCACATCCATTAATAGACAGTGCTGATACCTCTGATTCTGTGCTGCTTTGCACCTTGCATAATTACTGACATTGGTGTGAAAATGCTGCAAAATGATATCACATTGCCAGGGCAATTGCAGGTCCAAGCAGTGGATGATTACTGCTGTGGGTTCCACCACAGAGGTTATCTTTTCTCCTGATAACTTCATCTCAGTTTGACTGTCATGGATTTCCTCCAGCAAGAGACAGATCAAACAGATTTGGTTTCTAAGATACCAAAAGATGCATCTCCAAATCAACATTTTACTGTTCATGCACAAAGAGCTGCTCAATGAAATTAGTGTCATGTGAAAATAGCTTCAGCTGTGATTTCTGGGCAACTGTACTTTTACCACATTTGCACTGCCGTACTTTGAAAATAAAAATAATACCACCTGTGAAGGAGAGTCTCAGTGTTTGGTGTAGTGCTGTTTTGTTTTTTGTTTTTGTTTTTGTTTGTTTAAATGTCACTGAAATCACAAGGAGACTCTGGAATTCCAATTAATTTACAAAATGTATTTGTGCACTTGTGATAATCCATCTTATATGCAAGGAGAAAGCTCTTAATTCTAAGCCTTGTAATACATTAAACTGAGAGTTGAGCACTGAGAATATAATAATTTATTAATAGGATAAAATGATCAGGACGTATTAAAAGATCTGAATTTTTAATACTCTTATTAGCCTGTGTGCAAGAGATGGATCCGTTTTCTTGATGGATTCATGAAGTAATACTGTGAATGTTTGCTCTCTGAAAGAATATATTGTAAATGTACTGGGTAAATATGCAGTCAGGATAGGTTGGTGTAAAATGCTAAGGTACAAAATACTAGAGAGTAAAAAACTATTCTGACAGCTGCAGTAACTCACAGGTAACAACTTCTTCGGAGTCTGGCAGAAGACCACATCCAAATAATTCTCAGTTCTGACCCATTCTCAGATACCTAGCAGATGTTAATTGGAATGTCCTGTTGTAAAAACAGCTTAAGGCTGAGTATATAGACACAGTTGAGGGAAAGATCAAAAACTTAAGAAGACTGCAGATTTACTCAGAATGTAAATTTAGATTTTTAGTTACGTAAAATAACATCCGTTTATTTGATTTATTATTGCAGTTCCAGAAAGGTTGAAGAGGATGAATATGAAGATGGAACAACCAACCAAAAATGGGTTTTAGCTCCAAAAACACAAGACACAGATGTGACCTTGATACTAAACAAGCTGTTGAGAGAGTATGACAAAAAACTACGGCCAGATATTGGATGTAAGTACTCCCTTCTGCACACGGAGGAAAAGTATCTATAGAGAAGACACTGTATTACAGTTTGGTTATATATTTGGGAAAGTGGAGATTAATTGTCTTTGGCTCAAGTTCATTTCCAGGTCAGCATTTTCTAAATGCTAGTTCTCATGGGAAGATGTGGAGGTAATTTGGCATGCTAAGCTCTATTTTGCATGCATAGTTTGTGCAGCGATATGGAAAGACTAGTTTGAGGTCTTTGGCAGGACTGCAAACATACTTTGCTCTTTTGTCATCCAATACAGATGTATGGAAAACTCAAGCCACAGGTTCTGAGGAGTGATAGAAAAAACTGAGTGTATTAAAAACCAAAAAGTAGGACATGGCAAGAGAAGAATGTGCATCTACTCCCTGTAAAGTGTGATCACAAAAGTTACATTCCTCAATGCTTATAGGAAGGCACTTAGACTTGTTTTTGTAAATAAGGCAACTCTAGATTTTTTTTTTACCCTTTCAATCCAGAAAACACTCTATCTCCAAATAAACCTGACAGAATGAAGCGCCTCATGTGCAACACTAATACATACAGGGATATATTTAGATATGAGGTAGTAGATATCTGCGTAGATCAGAATGGCTTTAGCACAACTGCCGTTCCGTTTGATCACATACAGTTTGTATGACAGAAACCAGAGGTAATTTATAATTTACGCTAATTGCACCTTCTTGCATACATTTCAGAATAAACAGGGATCAGAGAATGCTGAGAATAGCCACCTCAGATAACTTGCCATTGCTAATTTTTTACAAAGAGATTAGAGAGAATTTCTGCCACTGATTAAAACTGAAACCACTATTTGGTGATTGCACGCATATTGATATACTTTGTAAGTCATCCCTTTGGGTGAGTGTAGATGGAAGTAAGAGCCTTCTGTAGATATTCCCCATTTGAATTATTTTTGCACAAGAATTCCAGACAAAGAAAAAAAAAAAACAACACAAACAAACCCAAAACTATACCACGCTGTGAAAGTAAGGCGCTTAAATTTTATTTCATAGCTATTACTTTATTTTCCTGTAGTATTTAAAAAGATCATATTTGACTGGTGTCTTTATTTCCAATGCAGACTGACATGTATGTTTTTCATACTGGATCTTGAATATCTGGTAGAGAAGTGCTTTAATGCAGTTCCCCCACCCATATCAACATCTGGAAGACGTTCTCAGATAATTATTTTATTTTATTTTATTTTATTTTGTACACTGTGTCCTCATATCACTGTCTTCAGGCAGAGTAAATTATGTTATGCCTATGTGGGACAAAGTAATCATTCAAAGTCCCCATGTCAGTTGCCATAAAATTATAGAGGTCAGACATATCCTGCAGCACTGGAAAATTGTTGTCACTGAAATAATTCCTTTTGTCTCTCCACAAAATTTCATAAATTCTGTTGTAGTGAAGAGAGTTAAATTACATAGTTCTTCATATATAGTACCAAACAGACTTTACAGTTCTTGACTACTGCCTATCTGTTTCGATTAAGGTATCAGTCCTATGCCATTTTTCTCTTTGACAGGAATCTGGTTATTTCTGAACTTGTGCTGAGCATTGTTCAGATGCTAGAGAAGTTACTTCACCTCCTGTCTTCCTTCCCTGGTCCCTTTTCCCTCCTCCTACCTTTGATGTAGATAAGCAACATTGCCCTTTTGAAGCTAAGGAGCTGCCTCATTTGTCAAGGAGAACACCATGGGAATGTTAGAGAATCAGGCTTTATTCCCTGAATTGCCAGCTGGTTGCTCACACACCATCACATCTTCCTTTCTGTCTGAGAGAAGTTATCCTCCAGGTTAGATGATGGTCTTGTCTTGGCCACAGAACAGTGTCCATGCCACAAAGATCCCAGTATCAATATGTTATCAGTTAAAGGGATGTTAACAGAAGCAATAGGCACAGAGCATGTAGTAAGAAAATGCATGTTTTTTTGAATTTATAAAAAGCATGGAATGGACCAGTGGAGGAAGAGAGAAGTAACTTTCAGAATCAAACAGAAATGCAGCCTGTAAAGGACAGTGGGGGCTAAATCTTGGTCTAACATGCAATCAGTTACTCATTACAGGCAGCACTTGCATTGCAATTTAAATCCATAAACTAATCTGCTGTCCCACAGGATAGAGAACTCACCATTTCATGCCACATTACTCTTCCCTCAGTTACCTGAGTGCACTGTTTCTAATATCGGTTAACTTTAACAGGCCTTCTTTCTGAACGTAGTCAGAAAAACCTAAAAATATTATGTACTTGTCTGGACTTTCACAGTTTAGGATTGCAATTTTTAAGTGACTTGGGAACGTGCTTTTGTAAGCCAAAGGCCATGGGTAGAGAAAAACTTTGACAAATGAAAATGCATGCTGGCCCTGGCAGTGACTTCTCTGCAGTCTTCCATCCTTCCCAGGGAAACAAATGCTCTGGCTAGCTCGGTTAAGTCCAGGCACTATCTATCACTGTACAGGACTATTATGAGTGCCCACTTGGCCTACCATGAGCACAGAGTATATCAGTGTTATATTATCTTCAGGTCATTAGTGAATGGAGTCCTGTGAACAGACCCTCAGCCATTCTTCTTCCTCCTGCCCAACCCAGCCCATTTAAACCACTGTAAAGAGTGTGTAGGTCAATGCTGAGAAGCCAGAATAGAGCTTGCTCTCTTCAGAAAAGGAATATCTTCCAATATGCTTGGACTTGGTTTTCATATCAATGAGTGTTGGTCAGAATATATGCAGAGATTTATGTTCAGCTGGTAGCACTGGGCAGTACATACATCATCTTCAAACTTTCAGGACTGGATTTTGAAGGAGAGATTGAACAGCCCAAGTATTAGGTGAAGTAGTTTCACTGTGAAGGATATCAGCTATCTGACACATTAAACATATCTGGGTAAAAGGAGCCTTCAGTCTTCAGACATGAAATTAGTTTTCCACCAGCAGGGGAATGTCTAACTGCATCCACCTTGGGAACACACTTGTCAGAGTTCTCATCTTCATAACTATCAGAACATAGGAAAGTTTTCATTATAAGAATAGCATCTGGTGGTATACCAATAAAACACAGAATGTATGTGCCTTTTGGAACTGAGGTGAAGGAAAGGGAAAATACCTCACACTGAAGAGATTACACTGGTATACTGATTAAAAAGAAGAATGTTTTATGGAGACAAAGTATCTTAGCACGATTCTCACCCACTTTTTACCAGTTAGAATTACAGGGCTGACAGTTGTGGCTTTGTTGCATGGTATAAAAGGAGCCAGACCAGGATAGCAGGTAATCCATTCTGAACTGTGAAGGCATTACCATCACTTCCTTATGTGGAAGATAATATGCAACCTTTTTTTCTTTTTCCTTCATTTATTGTGAAACTATACAAACAACCTATCAAAAGAGTTGGCAGATAAGAGATTCTGCTAGTGATACTAGTAGGAAAAAAACCCTCTCTCCAAACCAGACTTAAGATGCAGTGTTCAATTGAAGCATGAAGAACATTATGTCTCAAGAGTTGCCTTTCAGTGGCTAGTTTGCTTAGCTCAGGAGAATGATCTTATTTCATTTTGTTCACTCAGAAGCACTAACTAATGTTGTACAAAATTTATGTTGTGACAAGTCAATAGTAATATTAACAGTCATTCATAACCTGAACTAAACTTTGAGTTCCCATCTTAACCTCAACCTGCTACTTTCCAAAGAACACAACCTTTCCATAAGCATCTTTAGCAAGGAGTCACTTACTTCAGCACATTTGATTTCAGTGAAAAGGATATTCTTAAACTAACCCTGCACTCTGATCAAGTGCTCTTCAGCCTTCTGGCAATTACCTGCGCTTTTCCCCAGCTTCTGAAATACCTTTCTGTCTTAGTTTCAGCTGAGATGGATTTTTTTTCTTTAAAGTGTCTGATATGATGCTATGTTTTGGTTCTAGGAGAAAAACAAGGTTGATAGCTCACTGATATTTATAGTTGCTGCTAAGCAGTGTTGTATAGAGACAAGGCCATTTCAGAGTCTTGACTCATACTAACAAAGGACTGGGAAGGGACAGAATTAGGATGGCTTACTTAGACTGGCCAAGAGGATATTCCATACTATTTGACATCATGTGGAAGGAGAATTTTGAAGTGGGTGGGAGTTCATCTCACTCTCTTCTGCTCGCTGGGGACTAGTTGGGCATTGGTTGGTAGTGATCAATTGCTTGTGCATCACTTGCTATATACTTTCACTTATATATAGAGAGATAACTATCCTTTTCCTTTTCTCTGTCTTAGTAAATAGTTATGTCTCAATCCAAAAGTTTTGTTCTTTTTTTAATTCTCTCCCCCATCCTGCTGGGAAAGGGTTAAACCACAACAGTCTTTTTGGTGCACTATGTGGGTCACAAAGGGTTGAGATAACAGCAGATCTGACTGGAGTGTGTTAACATGGGGTGTTAAGATGGTTTGATAATTGCTGGTCATTATGCTAATTTTTTTCACTATTAATGAAGCTTTTTGAGACAGGGAAGGACATAGTCCAGCAGATCCTCAGCCTCCCTTTTTTTTTTACATTTATGTCTTTCTCTAGACTAGTTACAGTAGGTCTTGAGAATTTTGAATATCCTTGGGATATTCAAGCCAGTGTGCTTCTATTGTTATGTATCATGAATGTATTCCAGGTTACGTTTAAGATTAAACAATTATTCAAGAATATCACCCAGAGATCTGTCTCGAGGCAGGAGAGTAACGAATGGCAGGGGGTATGGGATGGTACAGGCAGGTGCCTACAGCAATGTGCTCTCCTACTGATTTGAAATTTTACCTCTGAATAACTGCAGAATGCTGAAAAACTAGTGGAATAGGTGGAAAAGGTCTGAGGTAGCAAACCTTCTAGACTTTCTAGAGAGGCACAAATCACTGCAGCGTGCTGGGGCCTGGCCTCTGCCTACCCAGCTCTGTTCAAAACTATTCAGCATCCTCAAGGGGAAGAGAATACTTTTGGATCT